TTCGAACTTCTGGCTACATATATGAGAGAGATGAGAGGCAACATAGCGGAGTTACAACATAATCTCACGATGCTACGAGCCGGGTTTGGAGACCTTCATGCCGAGGTCGTAACGATACGAGGTAACATAGCAGGCTTGCGAAGAACTGGCAACTCTTTGGATAGAGGGAATGACAGAAGGAATGGTGGTTATTAGCCAGTATGCCATATTATACCACACCTGTTGCATTTACGAGATCGGAGAAATTCTCTGACAGATGATATTCTAGACGTACGTCTACGTTCAAGTGAAGGTGATCCAACTTCGGGTAGTAACAAATTATTAAGTGGAAAATGTAGTCAAAATTTCCCACTTGGCTTCATAATATCGTTTTGGCATACAATGCTCTAAAATAATCAATTGCATAAGGTGTCTACTGAAAATCCTCTATGCATAGTTTCTATCACTGCATACATACATGAAAAAACTCTCCAGCTGAAACTTTCTACATGTGCACGTGCTATCATTTAAGTCCACAATGTATCCGATATTACATTTACATCTCAATGAGAAGCGAAACTGGTCCAGTGATTTCACATGTAAATTTCTTGCCACCTTTAGAGTTTTGAAGAGTATCTTTCTAAGTCAGGGTTAGCACATTTATACAACTCTGTGATTTCTCACATCGATTATGAAATCACTTCTGTGACTTGTTATAATGTGCAAATCCCTTATGATATACCGGATTCGGCTCGATTATTGATAGAGTGAATAGATCTGCTATTTCTTGAAATCTCTCTTCCCGGCTCGGTTATTGATAGAGTGAATAGATCTGTCATTTCTTGAAATCTCTCTTCTGATTCAAAATCGTGTTGTAACATGTATCCTCGCCTATTCAGATCATGGAATAGATGAAATAAATCAAAAAATGAAGATTCTTATCTGATGAATATCAATGAAAATCACGACAATTCCAAATTCAAAATACTTATCAAAAAACCACTCAATCATTGCGAGAATTGGTAACTCTCAATCATTTTTGAATAATGCATTAAGCGACTCTGCATTGTTCAACGTCATCATATTGTATCGATATCTTGAAAAAGTGATTAGTCTAATGTTCGATTCTCATCTTTGTTAGATAATCCCATGCAACATGTGATTTACTTTCTATTTCGACCATGAATTTATTAAACTCTTCAAAACTGTAAGATTCTACAACTTTCTTAAACAATGCAACGACGCCACCGTCCCGATACTTAGTCTTTAGGTTGTCTTGTATATGATACATACAATAATCATGATGTGCCTCGAAAAAGACTTTGACTATACCATTTATTATTGGCTGCCCCCGGTTAGTTACGAATGTAGGGTTCTTGATGTCTCTAATCACTTTCCTCAATTTTGTGAAGAACCAACACATCGCTGATCATTCTCTCTATCAACTATGCGAATACAAGAAAGTAAATTTAGACGTTGATATCTTGACATGTTGCAACAATTAACTTGCCTTTGCATCTAATCTTAAGGGTTGTACCATCGACTGGATTTATAGGTCGCATCGTGTTTTGAAATTCTCGAATGCATTGCCCAAGAGCCATTAAGAAATACTTGAAGTGATTCTCGCCTTCCATCTCAATAAAAAATACCGATCCAGGAATAATTTTTCCCAGTGTTTTAGCAATATCTAACCAATTTAGAGTAATTCTCATCGATTGAACCCAAGGAGTCCTCCAATGCACATTTATTGGCCTTATGAGCTTTATGATATCTCATAATCACCCCATACTCTTGACGGACATCATTAATGATATCCAAAGGTCTATAGATCTTTCGTAAGTCCTAAAAGTTACGAATCATCTGTCGACCAATGAACCATGTTTTTCTTGCCTGTGATCATTTTGACGAATACCACCTTCGCAAGTATGTTTCCGTACGTATTTACATACTTCAAAGAACTCATTCGTGTCCATCGTCATCACTTGCAAACACAAATGACAACTGTCGTCAGCTCAGATAATTGTGTACGTCGACTTACTTGATTTCTTCACTTTAAACTCAAAGTAGTATTTCAAAGTAATCTGGTGTTCAACTTCCTACAAAATCTTTCTTTGTTTGAAATAGTTGCTCGACATACAAATTTTCATCATTGGGAACTACACGCAAATAATTAGAGAACCGTGTACTCGTTCTAGCCTGTGAGCTCTTACTCGACTCATGTCTCCAACGGGATAAAGCAATAAAATCCTCATTTGTAAATTCATTTTTATTTTCGTTGTCTTGAACTATCAAGGGAATTCTGTGTTTATAGTGAGATCAAGGTGTGGAACAATTGTCTCGAGAATATTCACATCATCCTCATAAATTATCTCCACTGTGTCCCAAAAATCATTCACATTACGATCTCTTCCATTGGAATACTCGTGTTCATCTCGGGGATAGTCTTTTTAACTAAAGTTACACAAATATGAGTTGTGTGATTTTTGTTCACTTTAATTAAATCCTTCATCTCAACTTCGGAAGTAACCATTACAATTGGAATTGAAATGGATATATGCTCACTGAATAAAAATCCTAACTTAATATCGTACTGAGAGGGATCGACGTTGAGCTTGTTCTGTAAATCGTGGTACATTTTCAGCATACGATGTACTCGATTTTATCACAATTGCAGTAGCACCATGTCTCTCACTCATCCATTTCCACACATCATCAATCATTTGTATTCATTTCAAATTCACCAAAGTAACAAACCAGGACTGCAGCTGATTCCATATCTGCATTAGGAAACATAATTTGTTAAAAAAAAATATAATTATGAGATAAAAAAATGGAAGGAAAGCCATTTGAGTTGCCGATTTCCAGTCGTCTGGAAACGGATGGCCCAACAACTTGAGCCATCAATTTTTTAGCCAACCCGGTGGTAGGCTAGTTGGTCTCAGTCGGGTGTTATCTATACAGATGAATTTTTTTTTTTTGCTTAAAAAATTATAGATTTATTTAAGATTGTAAAAATTTATATGTCTATTTAAGAATAACATTTAACGATTAAAACAATTTACTAATTCAATAAAAACGAAATTAAAAATATGTAAATATACTTACTGATTCGAAGTGATGGTTAGAAACAATATTTTTTTTGTTGATCGTTTGATAAATTTATGAGACTTCAAGGTTGAAGCAGATGAAAAATGAAACAATTTTTATCAGTATTGGAGTAAACAAATAAATAAAGTAGCTTGGTTTAAAAATTTTAAATATGAAGTGTTTGATTTTTTACTTTGTAACTTAAATGTATTCTTGTCTTTTTAAACAAATTCATATATTTGTAATTGTATAAACTATTTAATAAGATTCTTGTCTTTTGATAAACAAAAGGCATTGTGGTGAGTTGCAAATTTTTTTATTGAAGTGGAAAATTGGCTATTTGACTTGGCTCTTTTTAAAAGTACCACGTTATTCATATGGGTATTAAGTGGGACAAGTCGCTCATTGATTTGGCTCATGCTCGAGATAAGCTATGATACAAGTTGAGCAACAAAATACTCTTGTAGCTAGCTCATAAATTGTGAGTGAAATGCAAATTTCACTTAAAAATTGGCTATCGATTGATCTGAGAGTCAATTTACCCCACGAGTAAGCGTGAGTTGACTTGTATAGTGGATTGAGGAAGTCTGAGGATGGACGAATCAAGAGGAGTGAGTCAATCCACTTAATAAACTAAATACATACTAAGTTATCAAATGTTGGATATTGCCTCCCAAATTTTTGTAGACGTATTACATAGGGTTGATAACAGTTCAATTATGGGTCGGTTTGGCCAAAACCATAACCACGTCACCAATTTTTTTACCATACCATAACTGCACCATAACCACGTAAATCGGTTCGGTTCGGTACGGTTCGGTTAATAATCACAAAAATAAATTATTTTTTATAGGTTCATCCGTCAAATTGATATAAAACAATTTATGAAAAAAGTCAATGAAAACAAAAACACAATATATTGTATTCGACCACGCCTCGGACTTGGCTCAAGTCTATACTATAATCAGTATTGATTGAATTTATCCTCTTTTCGAAAATATTTGAAACAATTTTTGCATCAAATCTTGAAAATGCGTCCCTGGAATTGGATATAAAATGCAATCAGTTTATAGATATAACCAAAACGACTGAGATAAATTTTTGTTCCAATAATCTTGATTAAGAAGGCCCCTCACCTGAGGTCTCGTCTTTTCTTTAAAAATTGAAGTCCAATCTGATTCAAACTGAAGTTGTGTGGAAAATTTTCTAGAGGCGACGACAGCTTGGACCATGGAGGTAGTGGAGCTGTGCGTGAGTTTGTGGTTTGTGGAGAGTAGTGTTTGTATTTATATGCTGTCATACTAATACTATTATTATGGGCTAATGGTAAGTAGGCTGATCAGCTCGGTCAAGTAGATGCGATGGAGGAATTTTGTTTTGGGCTGGATAAAAAAAAGTGTAAAGTCCAATAATTAATTCAATTGTTTTTTTTAGTGGGTAATGGTTTGATTTCGGTTCGACGGCGTAAATACCATACCTGCACCGCCACGAACTGGTTCATTAAAATCAAATATCATATCCGCCCCATTGCACCATCGGTTCGATTTTTTTCGCTTCATTCGATTCGGTTAATCGCGATTTTTGATTTTGACGGTTGAAATTGTCATTCCTAGTATTACACTATAGATAATGCATAGGCATAAATTCAATGCGTAGGCATGAATTTATCTTGAGTATTTGCTTGTAGTAACTATGAATAAGTCCTTGTTTGAGCCACGTTAGTTTTATAGGAATGTATTTTTGAATAATATATTAATAAAAAATGTGTGGTTAAATAATTTTTTTTTAAATTTACGTGTAATATTATTTTACTAAAAAATATATGGTTAAAATAATATTAAATTAATGTTTAAAAATATATATTTTTTTGGAAGAACATGAGACAAATAGGACCTAAATGCACACTGTACAGCAATTTAAATAGAATACGGGGAGGCGAGCCGAGAGCTAAAGAGAAAATAATACAAAGAAAAAAATTGGAAGGGAGGCTTCCATATAAACCGGGTGGAAACACACATCGTTAATTAATAATTATTCTGACTTACTGCCGCTTCCTCAAAAACTCTTCGGGACGCAGATTTTAGAGTTGTATGGAATCGAATATAATGAAATTCCTCGAAGAAGACGAGGTGAGCCCTATATATGTTTAATCTCGTAGATTTGTGTATATGTCTTTTCCTAGTTGAATTATATTTGATTTTGGGATTGTAAAGACTAATTTTTTTTTGACAATTGAACGGGTTTTCAGGATGAAACAATGCATTCTGGGGCTGATGTGGAGGCTTTCACGGCTGCATTGAACAGAGATATTGAAGGGGATGCTTCTACATCGCGGCTCCTGAGTTCAGATAATGGTATTCAATTTTTGTTTTACCTCCGTTTATTGTTTGAATGGAATTTCTGGGTTATTATTGTTTTTTGTTATTTTGGTAGTACTGATTATAATGAATTTTCCTTTGGGGGCGGATTGAGTTTGTCAACATAGGGTTTTACTTAGTAATGAAATATTGTCTTTGAACATTGAAGACCTTACTGATTAAGTGGGAGAAACAAGAATATAAAAAAGAAAGGGATTTAGTATGCACTCATGTTAAGTGCTTTGAACTAAAGATTAGATATGTGCTTATTTATCCTAAGATATGTGCTTATTTATCCTATTCAAGTAATACAGTATGAAAAGGATATTGGTCATTAAGGATTACATGGTTGATGCAGCGGAACAACACAAGAACTAAGAAGGCATTCAAAGACATTGTAGTCAATAATTCATTGTCGTAAAATCGAATACAATCTAATGAAACTTATTGAAATACTCCCAATTAAAATTTATTAATTCAAAAACCAAACTGCTGAACAATGATATATAGATCTTCTTTTGATGAAGAACCCTACAACCTAAAATCTTAGAATCACATAATGACCCTTAAACTATGAAGAATAACAAAAGACTCTATTTTTACTAAAAGAAAAAAGGAGAACCTTTTTTTAGAATAAAACTTGAATCCATGCGTCGGTTTTGTCATTCTTCCCAGGCTGACAAAAATCTGCCTCGAATCTTTTGTCCCGTGTTCTCATCCAACGGCTTTTAATGGCAAACTAACGTGTAAGTTAACATTGGACCTAGTCAAAATATTAGTACTGATATCATGTACTATCTATCTACTTTTTTCAAGCTCTAGCGTAATTTCTTTTTCCTTTCTCTCATCCACATAGGCACTGCCCTTTTTCTTCTGTTTTCGCATTTTTGTGTTTGTTCTAATTTCAGAAAACCAAAAAAAGCTCGCTGCACTTTTTGTATGTACCATTCTTCCAGTATTTTGTAACCAATCAACACCAATATCTGCTACCTCAATAGAATAGCAACAGACATGGGCAGCTAGTTCATGCTATCCAATTCCACTAAGGTGAATAGGTAAACTAACAAACCCAATATCATGACTATTAGGTGCCCCACTACTAATTACCCAAACTACCTCCTTAGTAGCTTCAAGCAGTGCTTGAAGTCTGTTTTAAATGGGAGGAAGATTCCTTTATTACGGAGACTGGAATGTGGATGGGAGATAAAATTCCTGTAGGTTTCAATAAATAAACTAATCTTCTATATGAGTTCTACGAAGAAAGGTCAGATATCTAGAAGCTTACGCTAAACTTTTGTGGCGCTTTCAAATAATGATATTGTGTGGATGTGTTTCCCCAATATCCCATCACATTTTTACGACCAGTGTACTTAGTGATGTTTATTTAATGTGTCCAAAGGCTTTTTATTTTCCCAGTTAGATAGTGATTTGTCTGAACTGTAGAATCTTGCAGTTTTGACTTGACATGATAATAATTTTTTGTCTGAACTTCAATAAAGAATACTAGTGAATGGCAATAATGTTGAGCATCTGAATATTGTTGCGACATGCAATTGGATGAAGTGTCGCTGATTTATAAACCTGCATTGAATCCAAACCTTCCCTGAAATTTAATGATTGATTGCTTTCATATCTCTTTGAATTACTGTGGCAGAAGTTCCTCATTTGTACATAATCAAAGCACAAGTCTAGCTAACAAGACCACGTAGTGCATGTTGAGCTAATGAGGCATGCTTGAATTAAAATTACATGCGTATCAACATTGCACCCCACAACTTAAAATCACTTTGGGAAGAAACAAAAATTGATGACCACTTGAGTAGTAGTGCAAGAAATTAGACAACCTCAAAGTATATCCATTTTAGTTTCTTCCTCTTCCTATTTGGAGGCTCCAATAAACGCGCTGCTGAAATCTGCAAAAACTGTTACCTTCATCCTCATTTTGATTGCTTAATATGATTTAACAGATTACCAAGATCATTTACAATGAACTTAATCAATCCCTTCTCCTCCTTTCTGATAGCATCATGGTTGCAGTTTGCTAATCTCTTATCATTGATTTGTTTAACTACTTTATAAGAAGGCAGCCAGGTCATTTTTAAGATTCTCGATAATTTATCAAAGAACAAGTATGCTTGTTTCCCGATGAGATTTGCTAGCATATTCCCCTCCACCAAGTTCTTTCATTCTATTCTCAAATTGTGCTTGTAATGAACTTTTTCATCTTCCTGATGCATGCAAATTTACAAATGCAGTAGTCTTATCTCAAGGAAGCAGTCATACATCTAGTTCATATCTTCCGCAGTGGCAAACTTCCAGCCATGATGAAAGTGTCAATTTTCGAAGTGAGCATGATCTAACTGCTATGGAGCAAAATGAACAACATTCATCTCAATCTCAGCTACAGCCCCGTGGGCCAGAATCTGAGAATCAGAAAACACAAGCTAACCAAAATACTATTCCTGTATCTCAACCAACGAGTGTGAAGATATCTGAAAAGAATTCCGTCCACACACCAGGGACAGATCCAGAAGAAAATCCAGATAGGGAGTCACAGCTGGACAAATTACAGAATATGACTAATCAACAGCCCATGGCAATGGGGTCGAATAATCAACATAAGTTTGCAATAGGGACCAAAAATCAACAGCCCATGTCAACAGGAACAGGGAATCAACAAACAATAGCTACGGGAATGGGTAATGAACAGGCCTTGGCGGTGAGTCAACATGCCATGGGAGCTGGGATAAGTAGCCAACAGTCCAGCACCTCAGGGATGAATAATCAACAGACCGTGGCAAACAATAATCAAGAGCAGGGTAATTCATTGAAATTAGGCAAACAAGTGCCTTTTGGTCTGTTGCTTCCTATCATACAACCACAACTCGACAAGGATAGGGCCATGCAACTTCACACTCTTTACTTTAAACTTAAGGTAATATTTAGTAGCTTGTTACTTCATTACTTTATAAATAATTGTCTTTCTCTAGTAAAGATCTAGTGTTTGTATTAGTTTCTAGCTAACAGTGGTTGTCTCTTTTCAGAAAAATGAGATCTCTAAAGATGTTTTTGTCCGACATATGAGAAGTGTGGTAGGGGACCAGATGTTAAAGATGGCTGTATATAAATTGCAGACTCAACAAGTAATGAACATCATACTTTTAATCTGTTTATAGTTGAATTGAAAATGCACAACTTCATTTATGGATTGATGCAAAATAAAAATAAAATCAGGCTTCAAGGAACATCCAGACTGCACCGAATCAAATGCCATTACAGTCTCAGGCCTCTGCACAACAATTGCAAATGCCATCAACTGGTGCCAAATCCTTCTCTGAAATTTAATTAATTAAACAATTGTACCAAAAGACTCCTAGATTTTCTGGCGATACTCATATTTCTATATTTTCTGCACAAATTAACAGATTTGACAAGCGATAGTAGTGCTCTGAAATCCCGGGAGGTGGAACATCAGGTAGATTCACATGGAAAGGATGTAAATCAAATGTCCTCTTCCACTTTGAATGTTTTGAGTCAGGACAGGAAGCAGCCAGCATTTCCAGTTCAGGGGCTTAATAAACAGCAGCAACAGCATTTGCACTTCTCACAGGCATCTTTTCCAACATATGGAAGTGCTGGGAGTAGTTATCCTCCTTATTCTGCAACATCTCTCAGACAGCAACCTCATGATTTGCAAATGAGGCAAGTTACAGCTCATCAGAACATGAATGCTAACCAGTTGGGTCCTACAACACAGGCAATGAATATGATGAATGTGCCTAAGTTTGGCAGGCCTAATGCTTTTGGTGAAACAAAGAAAATGCAACCGGGAGCCGTGTCTCACATGAATAACAATACAACACTGCAACAAAATCAAGTCCAGTGGTCATCATCCACCAGCAAGGAGCAGAAAATTGGAGTTTCATCATCAATGTCTTATGTGAAGCAGGAACCACATGATCAGTCAAATGACCAAAAGCACAATGCCGACGAGCATGTTAGTCAGGTCAATCAGGGAAATTTTGCAGGGAATTTGAAAGAAGAATCCTTAGAGATGCACTCTTCTAGAATGGGATTCACAATGCCAACGAGCATGTTATCCACAAATTCAGTGCCCTCTTCCATTACAAACCATTTGGAAACTAATTCATTGGTAATCTTCAGAGGTCCTATGTCTCTGGTTCCTCTGTTGTGTTTATACTAATGTGTGATATATAACTCTAAAATCTGGTCTAGCTTGAGTTATGATCCCTGCATTGAGCCAAAACAGTGGTGCTAATAGTTATTTTCTTTAGCAGTTTTAAAGGTGTTAATCATATTTATCTCATTTTATTTGTTCGTGGTTGTTTATGTAATTACTTTTATTCATATTCCTTTCTTCTATTATTTATTTTTATTTTTATTTATTTATTTTTTTTAAAATGGGATTCTTATACCTTGAAATTTGCTTTAAGTGATTGAAGTGTATCTTCGAGAAAATAAAAAATTCTGTTACTCTTAGGGTGTGTTTGATTACATTTATTTTCCATGGAAAATATCAATTTTCTACCCAAATTCCTATTTGGAGTGTTTGATTATTATTTTTTTCCATGGAAAACATTTTCCAACTTTTAAAAATATGCCTAATTTTCCTTGTTTTTAAGGAAAATATTTTCTTTGGGTAGAGGTGGTTTTTATTTTCCACAAAAGATGGAAAACATTTTCTTTTCTAGGTAATATTTTTCATGCCAATCAAACACACTCTTAGTTCTTATTCCCATGTCACTGTATTGACCCATGACCTTGGCACTACCTGTTATTCTTGTGGCTGTGGCTGTGGCTGCTGTAATTTTTCCTCTTATTATATTTCCTGTTAGTCTGGCTAAAGGAGTCAAAGAACTCTTTGATGAATCCTTCTAGTTTTCTGATAATTATTGAATCTCTGACTCCTCTTCTTGCTCTCTATCTGAGGCTGCAGATTTTTGGTTGAACTTCTTGTTCTGCATGTTATTGCCTTTGTCTAATATTGGTTGTAATTTTAGAATTTTTTCAGATGATGGACGCTATCCAAAATAATCCAGAATTATAGTGAAGAGAAGAGAGGAGAGGAGTAAAGGGGATTAAAAATTAAAGTAAGGGGAAGAAGAGGAGAGACAAGATGACATGAGGTAGGAGAGAGAGATATGTCTGTATTCAATAATCAAAGCCTAATCAAAACAAAATGCTACCCCGAATTATATAGGGTTCTACAGTTTTATTTAAGTAGGCAACAAATAACATAATATACTATAAAATCTTTTAAACTAAACCCCAATTGCTTTAATAAAATAAGAATCCGAACTTGGAAAGTCTTCATAATGGGATCTCCATCATTGTCTCTCTGTAACCTTGTCTTTTCCTCAACTTTTGTGGCTGCCTACATCTTATTTGGGGTAGTAGCCTGAGTGAGGGGGATGTTTCTAATAATTACAGTTTCTCGCAGTGCTTTGGTTTTGTTTTGTGCTTTATTCTGGGCATTTCTCTTTCTAGATGAAGCATAATTTTGACACAAGACAAGGGTTCCAGTGCAAGGGCCATGGGGTCTGGGAAGCATGTTATGAAAATGTGCTCTTACCGTTACATGATAATTTATATCTGGTTATTTATGATTATCTAGAGGTTGATTCATCTCTTTACTTTTGCTTTCTTATTTAATCAGTCAAACTCCCGGATACCTTCTTTGACCTCTTCTATTGGACTTGGAAATAATTCTAAGGCTGTCCCCAAAAAGATTTCCGTTGGTCAGAAGAAGCCACCTGAAGCACTTGGTTCTTCTCCACCTCCATCAAGGTGATGCCATTTTTTTATATCGATAAATTTGCTAGGCCTATAAAATGACAAGCAGATTAACTTTTCGCACATAGCAATGAATCCTCATTGGGATGTTGCATTTGTTTACATATCTTGTAGTAAGAAGCAAAAAGTGTCTGGAGACTTTCTGGATCAAAGCATTGAACAACTGAATGATGTTACTGCTGTAAGCGGAGTTAATATCAGGGTAACTACTCTTCAACCATAACCTTATCCACAGAGTGATGGAGTAAAATCATATTCCTGTCCAACCCACAACATTAACCTCACTTAATTAGACTCTTGAGTCTTGACATATGCTGAGTTTGTTATCCTTATGAAATACAATGTATAAAACAGGAGGAGGAAGAACAACTGTTCTCTGGCTCCAAGGAAGAGTTTCGGGATTTGGAGGCATCTAGACGGGTTGTTCAAGAAGAGGAAGAAAGGCTGATGTTGCATAAGATTCCACTTAAGAAGAAACTAATGGGAATCAGTTAAATCTTCTCTATCTTAACCGTATTTGACTGTTTTGATTTCTTAATTTGTCTGTGGATAAGGAGCAACTATAGTATTAGTAAAGATTGACCTTTTGGTTTTCTTCATCTTCTCTCTGTGGCAGTGGCTAAGTGTGGTTTGAAGAATATAGGCAATGATGTGGAGCGATGCTTGTCCTTGGTGAGACTGTAATGTGCCTATGCTCTAATTATGACTTTTCGTACATGTTCTAGGAACCATATTGGAGTAATTTTTGGACCATAAAGGAAGATTTTAGATCTTCAAAATATTTTTGGTTGCATTTGGCAGCCTATAGACCTTTCAAATTGGGAAACTAATGGCCGTCATGAGATTGCTTCTCCTAATAGGATTATGATGAACCCGATTTTGAAGTTGAGAAGTACAAACACACTTTTTATAAAAGACATGCCAAACTTTTTACTTACCTTTGTATATTATACTTAACAGTGTGTGGAAGAAAGAATGCATGGACTCATTACAAATTTAATCAGATTGTCAAAGCAGGTTAGTTTCCATATTTTAGTTTCAGTTTCTATTTCTTTCACTCTTCTTTGGGTGAAAAGTTAGAAATTGCTGTTTATTTGAATGGGATATCCAACTAATCTTAGATAAATATTTATGGTTTTTGTAGCGGGTTGATATAGAGAAGCCAAGGCACAAGACTGTCGTCACTTCTAATATTAGGCAACAGATTATGATGATGAATAAAAAAGCTCGGGAAGAATGGGAGAAGAAACAGGCTGAAACAGAAAAACTTCTAAAACAGAATGAAGTAAAACTCTTGTGCTTCCGCGTACTGCTTTAGTTCAATATTATTTCTTCCTTCTTTATTGTGAATTTTTCAGTATCTGTGATCATTTGTGATGCAGCCTGAGAATGATACTGGAGTTGATGGAGACAAGGAGAAGGATGAAAATCGTGTAAAATCAGCAAAGGTACAGAGATGTCTCCAGTGCTTTCTGGAAGGAAGATGTAATATCATTACATTCTAAGATTTGGTCATTTCAGGCTAACAAAGAAGAGGATGATAAGATGCGTGCAACAGCCGCAAATGTTGCTGTCCGAGCTGCTACTGGAGTTGGTGACATGCTTTCAAGGTGGCAATTAATGATTGAGGCCAAGCAGAAACAGGGAGGAACTGATGTGGCATCTGATTCTCAGTCTGGTAAAGATGTTGCACAGAAACCTTTACCATCCTCTGCAAGACGCACAAAGGAAAATCAAGAAGCAGAAAAATGTGGTCATTCGGTTGCCAGTAACATCCCTGGTATGTTGGTTTATCATTGCTTAAGTAACAAGTAGGCAAGTTTGGTTTTGTAATAATTTGACATGCTGCCCTGCCCAATAATGTTGTGTACTAGTAGGTATGAATTTATAGGTCTCAAATAGATGATCTTTTTTGGGCGAACCTGCCTAAGCTTTGAATGAGCTTATGACTGTATTATGGGCTATCAATGTCATGAGTTGGCATTTGTTTGAGTTCATTAGGCCCAAAAGTTAGTTGTTGGAATAGTAGTATCAGTAGTTGACTTCGATTAGACCAGACTGACCCAGAGAACGTGCCCACTAGGGCACCACCTGATGTTCCATAATTCGAAGCCAAATCTGATTTTTAGATTCAGTTTTGCTTAAAATTTGGATCCATCTTTTGATAAATTCTCTCTGACGTCCAAATTATATGTTTGACACACACACACACACACACACATATGCATATGCATATATATTTTTTATTTTTTCCCTATAGCTGAATACTTTTATTGTTGGTCCATAGAAATGTATGCGAACTTGAAAATTTTCATTGGTAAAGATTGACCTAAAAGTGTGCTTGATTTATCACTCGCTTGGCAGGATGTGATCTCCCCATTAAGTTTGTTGACTAATTAAGCATTATGACTTGATTGGTTCTCTTCTACTATTTAAATCAGTCTGTGATAGATTAAGCGCTAATACCTAACTTTGAAAGCAATAATAAGCTAAAAGAATACAGAAACGTGCACACAAATACACAGATTAACGGTGGTTCCCCTCAATGTGAAATCCACATTTGCTTGCCGTGCAGAATTTTCATTATAATGAAGGGATATTACAAGGCTTTCACACACCTTTCTGTCCTGTCTACATGAAAGACAGCTCCTCCTAAAATCTTTTATATGATAGGATATTATTATGATGTCCCTAAAATAAATATATATGGAACTATTAGGTCAAGGGGGAAAAAAAGCATACAATACCAATTTAGCTCCGTAGTCCTTGGCAAGCATTGATTGATTTTTCTTTCTTGTGAGTAATTGGCCTAAATTTGATATTTGGATTGCATTATTTCTCTTTGATATTTTCCCCTGCTATTGGTTGGTATGCAGCAGAGAAAAGGACGGTAGGGAGAAATCAAGTTGTGGCTGAGGCTCGCAGCATATCAATTAAGGATGTGATTGCGGTGCTAGAGAGAGAGCCTCAAATGTTGAAATCTACACTGATATATCGCTTGTATGAAAAGCTTAGTGCTGATGCTGCTGGGGAATGATCCGATCAGCTCTTAGTAAAAGATGCGATTCTCATTGTAGAGATGGATCTGCAATTGTCACATCCCTTGTATACAAAGGATGGTGCTAATGTTGTGTATATATTATTTAACTGCAGTAAGTGCATTACAAGATTCATAGGAACTGCTGCAGTTGATTTTCATTTTATTCTTTAATTTTTGCTGATCGACATCTGTGTGAATCCTTACTAATTCTCAAAGGAAACGAAGACAATGAAAATGATTTTTCTGTGTGATTCTGAACGACTATGTGAATCCTTTATAATTAGAATGAAAAGAAGTTTTCCATTCAAGTTTTAATACCTGCACTTTATCACCAAATTAAACGTTTACTGTGCCTACTTTTATTTATTTATTAAAGTACTGAGAATGCGTACACGCTGCCTGCCCCGAATTAATTCGGTGCGCATCGGGTAAACAATAAAAGTGAAATTCATGCTGAAAAACAATGCGCCTAAATCAACTCAACTTTGCATTTAAGAAAAATCACCATCAATAAATATCTCGAAAATTAACCGCACGCTCATTTTTACCCAACACCAAATCTCAATTTTCCGTTAATACATACCAAAAATCCAGGAAAGAGCACCTTCATTTATAAATTTCTGCTATTCGTTTCACAATTTCAAATCGATATTTCTGATTTTGATTTGTTGGACTATATGATCTTTGTTCATTTGGAATATTCCTATTTTATAATAGGCATCATTGTGAAATTTTCTCTTCTTTTTCGTAGTTTCTGTGTGAAATGGTGTTTTTTTGGATCTAAGAACATCTGCATATTTTGGGAAAATGGCATCGAATTTTGATAGATGGGAAAAAGATCCCTTTTTTTCTGCTGCTGAAGAGGTTCAGGAATCTACCGACCGGTATACGAAGTTCTAATTTAAATTTTATTTTGAATCGATATTTCAGGAATGTGATTGTACTTTTGTGAAATTTATTGAATTTATGGCGGGATTGATTTTTAATTTTTTTTTAATAAATGGAGTTCTTTAATACGATTAAATTAACATCTGTGACCCATTTTACAGGATGGAATCAACTTATAGAACATGGATTCATGCAAGGAAGGACACCTCTGGGGCTTGGAATGCGGTTGAACTCCGAAGAGATCTCCAAACAGCCCTTGGCACCGCTAAATGGCAGGTAGTTGACCTACATTAAGCGAAATGTGTTTAAATAAGAACCTGGGTGGATTGTTCTCCATTTTTCGTTTCACCTGTTGCTTGCGTGATGTTCATCAATGATTATGCTCTTGTTTTCAAAAAATAAATAGACCACACTCGGACGTTATTCAGTTTTGATTTTTATAGAAGGAAGATTATGCTTAAAGCATTATCGTACTAAGTGGTCATGAAATGGTTGTTGATGTGCTTGATTTATGCAGTTGGAGCAATTTGAGCGAGCTGTTAGGTCGAGTTATACTAGTTCGAAAGCAGCCAATGATGCAAAAGACAGGCATCGAGATTTCATAATTGCGATAGGAAGTCATTTATCAAAGGTTGAAAGCTCTTTAAAAGAAATGGCAGTTTCTCAGGGCAAGCCACCTTTGCCCTGGCTCCGATTAGATGAAGGAGAACACAAAGAGCTTGCGCTGTTCCTTTCACGGCCATCATCAGATTTCATAGATAAAATCTCCCCAAAAGTTCATGTTAAGGGCCAAATATCTGAAAACTCAGGAGGGACTGGCAAACACTCGATTCCAGAGTGCACGAGTTCATCTCATTTGGTGGCATGGGGTCAGGTTGAGGCTAAGGAAGATAAGTTACACGGACATCGGAGGACAGCCAGTGCTGGTGCTGACATCGGTTCCTGGAATATTGCAGTTTCTGATGATGCTTTACCTCACAGTTTATCCAATCTAAAACCTGATCTGCCCCCTAGAAAGATACCCAGTTTTTCAGGGTTTCTAAATACCATGGAATCCTCTATGTCTCATTTGAAGTGGTCAAAGAATGGCTACCGGAAGTTAAAGATTTCAGATTGCCATGAAGAAGTTGATACTAGGTTACCTCGATCTCAAAATTTGACCAAAGTATGTGATTTTCCGTGGTTACATTTAAAATTGGTCTTCAAATGTATTTAATCGTTTCTGGTAGTTGTATTATGCTATTCCTGACGGAATCTACACCCCTTTTTGAAGAATATCAATGCGGTCTGCGAAAGGAATAAAAGTTGCCTTGATGGATGTGATGATTATGAGAAGCAACTGTATGGTTGGTATGGTGCCATACACAGACTGCTTCAGAGGTCCCAATATCATATGCAATATAGTCGACCCATTCAAATCATTTTCTCCCTTATTTTCCTCTTCTGCTTGATTGGTGAGCCTGATGATTATAGTTTTTCCTTTCAAGTTGATAGTCATTTTTCACTTTTGCGCTACCCATCCTCTAGAAGTTAATTTTTAAGCTTTAAAATGCATGCTGTATTGACTGTAAAATGAATTTGATTAACTTTTATTTCTTTTATCAATATTTCGTTTAGGACCTGTTCTTGATACATTTTCTCCTATTTGCTGCAGCAAGCATGTTTTATTCACGTTCAATGTATTGACTGGTCGAAAATTCGAAATAGATTTGATAACATTTTTTGGATACATGACATTGCCATCATTTGGGTCATAATAAACTAAAATGCTTTTTCACATATTAGTCAATTCTGCTTGAGGATCAATCTTGCAGAGCTTTTGCTTTATTTTTATATGTAATTTGTGCTCCTGGATCGACCCCCAAATTTTTTTTATTTTTTTTTGGACATTTAAATCCTCAACCTCCCACTTTGCTTGCAGTTCCATCTTTTTTCACTGAAACAATCCAATGCAGGCATTAATTTTTGACAGAAAAACAAAATTTCCCCCGAGTTCAGTTAAAAAAAATAAAATAATAGTATATAAAAAAAATAAAAAAAATAAAGAAAAAAATAACATCATAGTGTCTTTCATCCCACCCACACTGCTCCCCGCCCCTCACCCACCTCTGTAACCTTGTGAAAATCACCCAAAAGAAATAAGGAACATATAAGTTCACTACATTGAAGTGGACAACCAATGTGAAAATTGTATTGTTTTACATGTAAAAGAGAAGATTCCTTGAAGTTTTCCTTGCATGCTTGAGTTACTACATGGCTATACTTCACATGCAATACTTAAATCAATTGTGTTTTAGGGGGCTAACATTTTTGTTTAAATCGCTGCTTCAAGTTTCTGTTAATAAATAACATGCATTGCAATGTCTGCTTTCTCATGCTTATAACTTATTTATAATGCAGTTTTATGGGCACTGCGTGCAGTCTGAGGAGGAGCAAATTCCTTTATCATTGTTATTGATTGATTAATTGATATGCAATGAAAAAGTTACAGGTTTTGGGGTTATCCTTTATGGTGTTACCTTATATAGTTATGCCCTTGTTTGAGCCCCATTTTTTTTTGAGAAAATACATTCTTAAACAGTGTTTTGATATCATTTTAACCACATATTATTCAATTAAATAATATTACACGAAAATCTAAAACTTTTTCTTATTTTTTAACCACATATCACATCATTACACTATTCAAAAATGCATTTTCTTGGCAAAAATGGGGCTCAAACAAGGGCTACGTATTACGTTCCATCTTTTTAGCAATATTTTAGCCCATAATTAAGTTATGCTCTCAGAATTGAGCAGTAATTGTTCCAGGTACACGATGTACACCCCTCCCTCCTCTCCTCTCTTCATTGTGAATCAGTTTTGTCTCAATTATGTTGTACTATGTAGGATTTTTGGGGAAGTAGATTACCTTGGTTCAGGTTTGAATTCGATAGAGAAGTTTGAAACTATATTCCACTTTCTAGATGATGCTCCGCACTTTCCAAGCTCCATTTTCTTCATGTACAATATTCAATGATGTAGAATGTAATGCAAGTTTGAAATTCTAGTCTCTTGGTCATTGTCTCTTCTTACTTGTATTAACAGTCAATTTCCTGGTACTCCTGGATGGCAGACTGCATATGAGTGGCTATGTTCAAATGAATTGTTGGGTAGCATTACAGTGATGCTTAATTTGTCAGTAAATGGCAAAGTTTGGCCTTGGATGGGATTGAAGAGAAAATTTAAAAAATTGTTAGTTGTGTTGTGAAATAATATTGAGTACTGTTAACACATGATGCTCGGACTCTTGATTCCGGTCGGCGTACCCGTAATAACGGTTACGAAATATGGAGTGGACGTGGCAGATTTCAAGTGAACATGGCAACCTAAGAATGAATTTTGGGCATAAAAACGAGATAGGAATGAGGAAAATGATAGGAATATAGGCGAATTTTGGGTTGCCGGCGATTTTGGTACATGAGAAATTTTGTGGGCTGTGTTCTTGGGTGGCAGATCTTCGCTCTTACTTCCGTCGAGTGCGCTATTGGGGATTGGGCAGCCTTGATTGTCAGGTGATTTAGGATCGTGAGTTTGGGTGTGTGAAATTCGGCTGTGATTATTTGTGGTATCGTGAGGGGAAAAATTCACAAGTCAGGTGTCAAGTTTTAAAATGCAAAATTCAGGTAAATGCTAATTAATTAAACATATTTATTAATTAAATATAATAATATCACAATTATACAATTAATGATCATAGGTACATAATTATAGGTTGTAATTTATTTATTGGTTACATATTATCAAATTAATTGATCATAAATTATTTGGATGTCACAAATAAATTTTTTTATAGATCACAGTTTATTTAATTGGTTACAACTAAAAAAATATAGGTCACAATTTATTTATCGATCACATATTTTCAAATTTGTTGATCACAAATTATTTTTTTATCATAAATTATCGAATTTTAAGGTCATTATTTAATGGTTAGTTACAAAGAAATAAATAGTTGGTCACATATACCAAATCCCCCATGTCCCCATTGACGATACCAAAATTTTTAAGTCACAATTGAATACTTTATTACAGATAATCGAATAATTGGTCACAACACCAAATATTGGGTTGCATATCACCGCCACTGTCACTATGTCCACTTGCGACTGCCCTAACCCTAACACCGTTGCCACCACAATTTGTGCCATAGATAACTGTCACTTCTTCCATAAACTATCACCTCCAAACCTTAAGAATATACGCCATGGTGCCACATCATCACCACCAACGACATTCACCACAAAAATACAAACCACCACCGTCGTAACAATTTATACCTTCCAAATAAAAGAAAAGAAAAAGAAAAAGAAAACTTACAACCAACAAAAAACCAGTTGCCAGCCCCGTCCCCAACGTCCTTAGAGCCCCTACCACCATTACCCTCATCGTCGCCAAATCCACTATCGTCATTAGCACCTCTACCTGCATAATCAGCAAAAACCACCTCCCTAACACCCAAACCACCATCACAAGCGACACCACCACCACCACCACACCCCAAGTAGATTTACCACCATCACCAGCATCTCACCACTGTAGCACGTCATCACCATATGACGATGACTTGAAAATCACTGCAAGTAGATGCGCTATCGGCGTGGCATTGTCTCCAGCAACGATTCGATATTTTAAAAGAGAAAAGAAGAGAGAAGGGAGAGAGATGTAGAGACAGAAGGAAGAGAGATGAAATAATTAAGGTTTGAGAGTGGGGCGGATGGGAGTGGATAGATTTTATAATAATATTATTAATATAAATAATTAAATTAATACTTGATATTTGAACAAATAAACTTCACACCTCATTTATGAATTGTAATTTTTAAACACCCGTTGACATGTAATTTCCATTATCGCGAGTTTACGTTTGGACATTAGGCTAATGGACCGTGAGTATTTGATTGGGCCGTTTTCTTTTAGTTGTGGTGTGGGCTTGTTTGTTGAGCCGTTAGTTGTGCTTATTAAATTTTGGAAAAATTTCATAGGTGAGAGATTACGTAAAGCAGATTTCAAAATTAAGAAAACAAGTTTCAACATTCAAAAATTAGATTTTTATTTAAAATTTATTTATGATTTAATTATTTAATTAAATGTTTTATTAACTTAAGGCTTGTTTGAGCCACATCATAGGGAAAAAATGCATTATTCATGTCAAATCAATGAAAAATGTGTGGTTAAATTTAAGGAAAAGTTTTAAATTTGTGTGTAATATTATTTTATTGAAGAATGTGTTGTTGAAATGATGTCGAATCTCTGTTGAAGAATGTATTTTTTTTTGAAAATAATGTGGCTCAAACATGAGCTTAATATATTTAGATCACAGTTTTATATCACAGTTATCTAATTAATTATTCCGGGAATAATTCTTAGTCACAACTTATCAAATTATTGGTCGTAACTTATTTCTCAATCACAGATCGAAAATTTTATAGGTCATAGAATATTTTTCGATCACGAATCCAAAAATTTTACAGGTTACAGATTATTCATCGATCACATATCAGATTAATTTTTAGTTATAACTTATCAAATTATTGGCCGTAACTTATTTCTTAGTCACAGATCGACAATTTTAGAGGTCACAAAATATTTTTCGGTCACTAATCCAAAAATTTTACAGGCCACAGATTATTAATCAATCACAATTCATTTACTCATTGCAAATTATTGAATTAATTGGTCACGATTAATTTTTCGATCAAAACTTAATCATATTGTGAGTCACAATTTTTGGGTCATATATCCAATTGCAAGTCACAATCGAGAGTCACAGGCATAGTCACAATTTCCAGCACCACTACCATCGCTGCCAATAAAACCCATCTCGCATCCACCCATTTCCCTAAAACGCCATAGCCAGCACCGTCAACGTCACCCATTTCCACAACCATCGCGTTCACCACCACAACCGGGTCAAGCAATTTACTAGTCACAGACACTTTGATCCACACAATCGACGCCAACGCTGCCGCCACCAACACCATGTCGCCATTGCCTGCACTTCATCCAATAACCAAGAAAAAAAATCAACACCACGATCTACACCGCTGTAGCCACCACGTTGCCAATACCACCATAACCTTGCATTGTCGCCTGCACCACCATTCCGCCATCACCACCGCACCACCACCATCAACACCATCACAGATTCATAGCCACCAAAGCCATTAGATCTACACAGCCAATACCGCTACACCTTTGCATTGTCGCCTGCACAGATCCACGTCGCCAATACCATCGCACCACAACTAGCACTTCAACAGATCCATTGCCCGCATATATTCACGCTGCCAATACCACCGTACCCTTGCATCGTCGCCCGTACGACCACATCAACACCACACCATCATCACCACTGCACCACCACCCATAACACCATCACAAATTCACACCCACCCAAACCCCTAGATCCACCACCACAGCCGCTGTCACAAATTGCCATCGCAGATTTGTGAGGGGACCTGTTACGGATATAGGAGAGGAGATAAGAGGGAGTCGACGTCGTTAGATTGGAGATGGGCGACGACGACGCTTCTTCTATTGGCTTAACTTCGGCGTCGACGATCTCATATTTTTTTCCCCAATTGTTGAGAGTCGTAGTTGAGAGGTAAGAGTAGAGTGAGAGAAGTGAGGTAATTTAGGTTAACTTACAGAGAGAAGTGAGAATAGAGAGAGAAGTAATGTTTAATTATTATTTTTATATACATTAGTTTATTAATTAATTAATAAAAGTTATGATTTGTGAAATACTAAACATGCCATCTTATTTATGAAATGGGTGATGTTGACGGTGCTGGCTATGGCATTTTAAGGAAATGGATGGATGCGGTTTAGGGTAGGTTTTGCTGGCCATGGTGGCAGTGATGGTGGTGGTGCTGAAAATTGTGACTATGCATGTGACTCTCGATTATGACTCGCAATTGGATATGTGACCCGAAAATTGTGATTGTGACTCACAATATGATTAAGTTGTGATCGAAAAATCAATCGTGACCAATTAATTCAATAACTTTCAATGAGTAAATGAATTGTGACCAATAAAAGTTTCAAATATGTGACTGATGAATAATCTGTGACCTGTAAAGTTTTTGAATTCGTGATCGAAAAATATTATGTGACCTATAAAATTGTCGATCTGTGATCGAGAAATAAATTATGACCAATAATTTGATAAACTGTGATTAAAAATTAATTCATGACTAATTAATTAGATAACTGTGACAAAAAATTGTGACCTAAATATATTAAATTAATAAAATAATTAAATCATAAATAAATTTTAATAAAAATCTGAGATGTATCCACGTATCTTTGTCTAAGATTTAGACACTTTTTAGCTATGTTCCAATATTCTATAATTTTAAAAGTAAAAGATCCGACACTTTTATGTACCATACTCGAGTCCGACCATCATAGTTGTTTACCAACATGTGACTTGTGGTAATTCTTGTTGCATTATTGATGTCAGATAAGTTGCAAAGTAATTGCAGTATATAGAAGTTGTACTTCTAGCTCTCATGTTCATCGACGGATTGTGTTTTTTTCTCGTAAAACTGCTCTTTTTTATTTATCTTTTTTCCTTTTTTTTTTTTTTGGGTTCTTCCTTCTCTTTTCTTTTTCTTTCATTATTTCGGGAAAATTTCAGGCAAGGTTTTGATCAAATAATATAGTGTGTATAATAAACTTAAGGTGGATCGTCTAAATTTTATTCTCACCATTTCATTTAGTGAAATCTTTACAATCATATGCTTGAGTCAACAATACGAGTCATGAAAAGATAAGTTACATTGCATGTCTGCGTGTGGTATCTAGCATTGTTTTATATGTATTTAAAGGTTTCTGTTGTAACTTAATATAAAGTTTTAACCTTTCAATATTTAACCTATTTAATTTTCTTTATTTATTTATTTAATAATAAGTTTAAACACAATTAAAACATCATAATTCATATTATAACTTCTATTTTAATGATTTAATTGTGGGGGTTGATTTTCACCTATAAAAGGTGGTTATATCTCATTGAAAATGTGAACTAGAATAAAACTAACTTTGAAGGAAAACATTCTCTACAATTAATATTATATTCTTATACTTTTGGCAACTCGATGAGATGCTCGTTTACTTATCTCCCGATGGTTGTGCTCATAGAAAGAGAGCCACATGACTTTTATTTTGAAACCGTGTAGTGCTGAAAGAACCCGCACGAAAGGAGTCAATACGACTTTAAGACAGCGTTCTCAACGTGACTTTCAAGACTTGCTTTCTAAATCTCTTCTCTATTTTATGTTATATTAATCTTGAATTGTATTTGTTATTTTATTGTGTTAATTGATAATAAGTCTATACACAAATTATTCAATTTTCTCAACAATCTAAAATCATGTTTCCGTGATTTGTGTATAGAACACAACGTATTTGAGAATATGCCTTCTTCCATCATAAAGTTCCTTTAAAAATCTAAACTCGTTGGATATGATTGTTGGTTCCACAAAACAAGTTCAGAACTTACTTCCTGGTAGATGTTCATGGATATAGAGACTTAAGTTTAATAATCAAGTCGTGCATGTTAACCTTTACTATGTCAAGGGCATTTTAGTTTAACAAATTTCGGACCAAATTTTATTGAAGGTTGGTAACTTTTCTATTTTAAAAAAAAAAAAAAGAATTTTTGCGCTCTGCATATATTGGAGTTGTTGACTCAAAAGGCGATTTGAACAACTTGTCTCGTCAATCTAAGCCTTTTATTTATATTTTCCATAACTTTTATTCTTGTGGGGAGAATAAACAGTAAAAGTTAGAAGAGCACAAAATTTTCTGACATTTGTTAGTTGTCATTTTTGTTACTTTTCATTTCTTTTGAGCGGAAATGAAATCTGCCGAATTAATATTTTACAAGAAGTTTAATTTCATGATTAATCTCTATAATTTTATTTATAGGCAAAATCTTGTGATTAATAGTGATTTTATTTTATTGAAATTTGTAACTTCAAAAGTTTCCCCAACTTTAATTTTTAGTTTTTTTTATTATTTAAAATTTTAGTTTCGAGTTTCAAAGTACATATTTAATATAAAACTTAACAATTAGAATGTAGGTTATGTATGAATTAATTTTCATTATTATGGGTTTTTTTTGGCGGCTATTGCTTTCATAGAGAATTAAAAAAAAAAAAAAAAATCACTTGTTGATTTTCAGATGGTTCATATGCCATTTTAGCTCTATCTTTTGGAAGAGCTAGCCATTTACAACAGTAGTGTGATGGCTCTTAATTGAGGCAATCAGATCTTTCCTTGGGTTATGTTTGGTATTGAAGTGGAGTGTTTCTATATGTAGTAATAAGACCCAGAAATCTGAATCATTGATTCCTGTGGTTTGTTATGTACTTCGTTGTTGAAAATGTCTACTAAATTTGGATAACCTGCTATAGTACATATGAAATGTTATTGTGAGAAAACTTTTGTTGTAAGTTAAATAAAATTGATCCTGAACTTCTTTATAATTCGTTGGAAATTATTGCACAATATGTTTTAAAAATAAGCTGCTTCTATTTAATAATTTTCCTGACTATATTATGGGCACCAGGGGACATTTCTTCATGGTTATAGTGCGTTGATATCTATGCTATAGATTCTTATAGACGCAATTCTAATGAAATGCTAAGATATAAAATTTTGACTAGTCTTGAGGACTTCCATGAATTTTCTATAAGCTCCACCAGGTAGCCATGAAGTTATCATAAAGTAAATGGATAATTGTATTTTCAAGATATTTAGCTTAGTTAACCATGTTATCATCCTAAAAATAATTTCATTATGGAAAGAAAAGAAGTTTCAAAAGTTAGGGGTATATAAAAAAAATAAAAGTTGGATAGATGTGTGCTAAATATCCATGACCATTGACATCGACTCGATGACCACAATGATTGTAATAAACAATTTAATTCAATCATCAATATATGTGATACGTAAGGTATGCATTGATGGTTGATCATTCTTTTCGGCTACATAGATTAATATTAAATTGTGATTTATGGAGATTGAGAATATTTGGTGATGAATTATTGTGTTTAAATAAATTAATTAAAAAATATATATATTTGGAATGTGGGGTGTCTAAAATGCCAAATAGACGCACCTTATAGTGTTCTTAGTTGGAAAAGCTGACTTTGGAAAGTGTTAAAAATGAATTTTGTAGATTTACAGGTGAAATACCAGAGCTCAATGGATGCATATGCTCAAACATGTTACTAGAAGTCAATTTCTAAATTTCACGTGTCCATCGTATTATAATTAAACGTGTTATTGATATTTTGGAAATTTTAAGAAAACTTTGCTGGTGTTCAGATTGCAAGCAGAGAATAAAAGCTTGTAAATTGATGTTACCAAATTATTGTCCAAGAGGGATATGAAATAAATTATAGTCCGTAATGGACATATATAAATTATCGAGGGGATGAGCTTAAGCCCATAAGGGAGTTACTTTCGGGAGTAACCCAATCTTTGTGATTGGAGACCTCATGAATAAGGTTCAATGTTGAGGAACAACCAGCACTGCATGACTTATAATAGCATTATTTTATTTGTGCTCATCTCCATGGTGATAGTGCTAATAAATGTGATGTTTGGAAGGGTTTAACCTTGAATGAGTACCGAGACGATAATTCTTGCTAGGTGTAGGTCACACACATCTTTGAAGGACTTACCTATGCAATGAGGTCGTGATTATGGGATTGGACTATTCCCTAGTGGCTCTTCTAGAATCAAGATTAGAGCGCATGGTCATTAATAGCGCTATTCGCAATGAACTGAGCCTAAATCGATACTGTGTGTGGAACAATTGAAGTTTGGTTAAAGAGACCTAATTCAAGGCTTAGTCCATTATGGCTCCTTCAAGTGGAAATTATTATCAAAGTGAAGTTCAAGTCCAAAAGACACCTACACTATTTCACAGTATTATGTTGTCACAATTATATATTTTTAATTATATTGAAAGTTTAAAACTTGTGGGGGAATTATTGTAACTTCAAATAAAGCTTTAACCTTTCAATAATTAACCTATTTAATTTTTTGTTATTTATTTATTTAATAATAAGTTTTAACACAATTAAAACATCATAATTCATATTATATATTCTCTTTTAATGACTTAATTGTGGGAATTGATTTTCACCTATAAAAGCTGGTTATATCTCATTGAAAAGGTGAACTAGAGTAAAAATAACTTGGAAGGAAAATATTCTCTATAATTTATACTATATTCTTATACTTTTGACAACTTGATGAGAGACTTGTTCACTTATCTCCCTATGGTCGTGTGCTTATAGAAAGAAGAGCTATTTGAGTTTTATCTTGAAGCCGTGTAGTGCCGAAAGAACCTGCACAAAGAAAGACAACACGACTTTAAGAAAGCGTTACGTGACTCTTGATAACAATATAATGAATCTCAAACCAATATGTTGAATCAATTCAAAAGGAAGAAAAGAGAAGAGAAAGAGAAGAAGAATAAAGAGGGAACAAAAATCTATTAAGCCATCAATTGAGTTTTCAAAGAAAGTATAAAACGGGTTTTATACTACTACAAGGAAACCTAAAAATAATAGGAAACTTACAATAATAGGAAATTACGTATTATGCTAAAATAAATAACTAAATATAAGTAATTAACTAAATATAACACACGTTTTCATCCCCCCTCAAACTCAAGATGCTAAAGCAAGAAGCAGCGAGAGTTTGTCACGCAAAAAGCGAAAACGATGAACCGGATGAGACTTAGTGAAGAAGTCAGCAAGCTGCAACGATGAAGAAACAAAAGATAGGGAAATGGTGCCAGTCTGCAGATGATGACGAACCAGATGACAATCAATCTTAATATGCTTTGTGCGTTCATGGAATACAGAGTTGTGAGAAATCTGAATGGCACTAGTATTATCACAATACATGGGAGTTGGGGAGGAATGAGAAACACCCATGTCTGCAAGTAACCATCGCAACCACACAATCTCAGTGGTGGTGGATCCCATAGCTCGATACTCTGCTTCTGTAGAGGAGCAGGAAACAACAGTCTGCTTCTTACTTTTCCAAGAGATAAGTGAATCACCCAAAAATACACAAAAACCCGTAGTGGACTTGCGATCAATGGGGTCGCTGGCCCAATCAGCATCAGAGTAGGCACGGAGCACTAAGGATGAGGTTGATGGAAACAAAAGACTCTGAAAGCATGTACCACGAAGATAACGCAAAATACGAACAACTGCTGCCCAATGAACTGTAGTAGGAGCTGAAACAAATTGACTAACAATATGAACACCATAGGCAATATCAGGACGTGTGATGGTAAGATAAACTAGACATCCAACAATAGTGCGATACAAAGTGGGATCAGTCAATGGGACACCATCAGAGGATGAATATCTTGCATTGGACTCAAGAGGAGTATCAGCAGATTTATTGTTAGTAAGACGAGCACGCTCAATGACATCCATAGTATACTTGGACTGAGAGATAAGATAACCTCTAGGAGAAGAAGCAACTTCGATCCCCAAAAAATAAGACAGTGTGCCCGAGTCCTTCATTTCAAAACGACACGCCAATTCTAATTTCAAACTTGCAATTCCATCAATATCATCACCAGTAATAATCATATCGTCAACATATAGCAATAATATAATGTGACCAGCTGAAGTGCATCTAAAGAATAAAGTGGAGTCATGATGACTGGATGTAAAACCAAGAGAGCTAACAACAGTGGAAAATTTTTCAAACCAGGCACGAGGTGCTTGTTTGAGGCCATAAAGTGCCTTTTTGAGTTTACAAACAAATCCAAGAGTGTGAGAAAGACCAGGAGGAGGAACCATATAAACCTCCTCTTAAAGATTTCCATTTAAAAAGGCATTTTTAACATCCAATTGAGAGAGACTCCACTGACGAACAGATGCAACTGTAATAAGTGTACGAACAGTGGCCATCTTGGCAACAGGAGCAAAAGTCTCCTCATAATCCAAACCATACTGTTGATTAAAACCTTTAGCAACCAATCTGGCTTTGTAGCGTTCAATCGAACCATCAGATTTGGTTTTAATCTTATAAACCCAACGACAACCGATAGTATGTTTACCTGAAGGCAATTCAACCAAGTCCCAAGTGTCTGTCTTATGTAGAGCAGAAAGTTCATCAGCCATAGCTTGTTGCCAAAGAGGATTCAAAATAGCTTCTTTATAGGAAGATGGTTCAACTAACTTATGAATGGATGTTAGAAGATACCAAAAGGACTCAGAATAATAAGAATAATCAAAATCAGGTAATTGAGTGGACTTACGAATACGTTGAGAATAACGAGGAAGAGATGAAGCAGGAGTTGGATCAACAATCTCAGGCGGTGCTTGGGAAGCCATAGAAGAAGGAGGGGTAGTATGATCTGAAGCATGTGTACCTGCAGGACATGAAGAATCAATAGTACATGAGGTATGGGAAGGTGAATTGTTTATATCATCAGAGAATGGATCAATATAAATGAGGTCGGTTTTGGTCACGTTATGAGTATTATCAGAAATGGAGAAGAATGGAATGTGCTCAAGAAACACGATATGACGAGAGACATATAATTTATTATTAATGGGATCGAAACAACGATAACCCTTTTGCCCTTGCCCATAACCCAAGAAAACACAAATAGCAGACCGAGATGTCAACTTATTACGTTCAACTTCAGGACGAAGAACAAAGCAAGTACAACCAAAAACTCTCAATGAGGAGTAATCCGGAGGATGCCCATACAATGTTTCAAAAGGTGATAAACCTGAATTGTGGGAAGATGGAATCTTATTAATTAAAGAAACAGCAGTAAGAGCTGCTTCTCCCCAAAACTCACTGGGAACTTTGGCAGATAAAAGAAGTGAACGAGCAGTTTCCACAATGTGCCTATGCTTTCGTTCAGTAATACCATTTTGTTGTGGGGTATTAGCACAAGAGGTTTGATGAATTGTGCCGTCAAGAGTAAGCAATTTAGAGAATTCGGATGAAGTATACTCTCCACCCAAGTCACATCTAAAGCATTTGATTACAGTTGAATGTTGGGTTTTAATAAGTGCTCTAAATGATCGATAAATAGAAAGAAAGTCAGATCATTGCTTCATAAGATAAACCCAACAATAACGACTATAATCATCAATAAAGGACACATAATATCGAGATCCTCCTTTTGTAGTAACTGGAGCAGGTCCCCACACATCAGAATGAACAAGATCAAATGGTGCAACAGAATGAGAAATACTTCGAGGAAAAGGTAAAGCAGAAAATTTTGCTAATTTGCAACCACTACAATCAGAAATGTCATGAGTTTGTATATTTCCCAATTGACCCTTAGAAACTAAAAATTTTAAACGACTAGCGGAAACATGTCCAAGGTGAGAATGCCACAAATAAAAATTAGAAGACGATGAATTCAAAGAAAAAGATGACAAATCAACACCAGAGGCTGCAACGTGTGATGATCTTAGATTGTCCAGAACATATAACCCCCCTTGTCTATGGCCTATCCCAATCAGCTTCTGAGATTGAGGATCCTGCACATGACAACCAGTAGAAGAAAATTGAACTAAGTATCCAGAATCACACAATTGACCAATAGAGATAAGATTCAAAGTAAGAGCTGGAACACAATAGACATCTGACAGTGACAAATTATGTGTATTAACTGAACCAACACCTGCTAAAAGTAATAGTGTACCATTAGCAGTCATAACAGACATAGATGGGTTGGAAGGACGCAAGTCATTAAAGAGTTTTGAATTAGACGACATGTGTTTGGAAGCACCTGAGTCAAAGATCCAAGAGGAAGAAATACCTGAGCGATTCTGTGATAACAAACCTATATGAGTGGAGGTTAACATAGCATGTGGTTGTGTGGCTAAGAATTTCTGAAACTGCTCTGCTAAGTCCGTCAACATGAGATTGGATGAAGGTGGTGCTCCAAGTATGGATGAATCATTAGGTGGCATGGTGACAGCTATGTTAGCATTGGGACGATAAGATCGCTGGTGTGATTGAGGTTGTTGCTTTTTCAATAGCTTTGGACATTGAGACTTCCAATGTCCTTTTTGCTTACAAAAGTTACACTCATCAGTAGCAGCTCGCACATAACCTTTATTCTGGTTCTGTGTGAACAGTCGAGAAGGTACAGCTAACACTGAGGTGCTGGATGGAGGAAGAGATACTCCTCCTGCAAGAGATTTCAAACGTATTTCTTCAGCTACAAGTTCACTAACCACCGAATCAACTGAAGGAAGTGGAGTGCGATGTAAAATAGAGCCTCTGAGTCCCTCAAAATCACTGCTAAGTGCCATCAAAAATTGAACTAATCTCTGCTCCTCTCTAAAAGTAATATATTCCTCACATGCTTTCAGTTCTACTGATTCCGTAAGAGCCAGCTCATCCCAGATAGAGTTCATAGTAGCGTAGAACTCAAGAATACTCATATCTTTCTGATGTAAAGCCCGTATATCAATTTCCAACTGATACCGTTTTGCAAAGTTAGATTTAGTGTATAATGTTTGAAAATGCTCCCAAACTTCTTTTGCTGTTTCAAACTTCGCTGATTGTGTACCAATAGATTGCTCAACGGAATTGTGAATCCAAGTGAGAATTTTCGCATTGTTTGACTCCCAATTATCTAACTTTGTTACATAATTCTGAGCAGTGTTCTCGGGTTTCACAATAGTTCCACTAACATAGCCCCATAATCTTTTTCCCTTTAAAAAACTTCTCATCACTGTACTCCAATACGAGTAATTTTTACCATTTAGTCTGACACTAATGGATTGAAGTGAATCATCTCTTTCAGTAGCCATCATAAAGTCAATAAATACCAACAATAACCAACGTACTTCCACAAACTATAACCAATGATAAGGAAACCAATGATAACCAACGTACTTCCACAAACTATAGTTAAAATATATTGCACAGTATACGTATAACCAAATTAATACCACCAAAAGATCAGAAATTTACCAAGGAACAAACTGCCTTTTGGAATAACCCCGAAAAAATGACTCATGCGCCTTCACGCGCCACCACTGCCTCTGCGCATGGTCCTCACGCGCCACCGCCACACGCTTGACCGGACGTTTCGTCTCAACCTGCTGAACAAGGATCTGGTCTCCGTTTTCTTAATGGATCTACAGTTTGGTCGGAATATTGATTTTAAGTTGCTGTCGAATAGATTTTTCATACAAACTTTCTTTGCCTGATTTCTATCTTGATTTCAGCACGACCCAAACACAAATTTCACAAATTTTAACTCAATTATAGGCTCTGATACCATGATAACAATATAATGAATCTCAAACCAATATGTTGAATCAATTCAAAAGGAAGAAAAGAGAAGAGAAAGAGAAGAAGAATAAAGAGGGAACAAAAATCTATTAAGCCATCAATTGAGTTTTCAAAGAAAGTATAAAACGGGTTTTATACTACTACAAGGAAACCTAAAAATAATAGGAAACTTACAATAATAGGAAATTACGTATTATGCTAAAATAAATAACTAAATATAAGTAATTAACTAAATATAACACACGTTTTCAACTCTAACACTTGCTTCTAAATCTCTTCTTTATTTTATGTTATGTTATTCTTGAATTGTATTTGTTATTTTATTGTGTTGATTGATAATAAATCTATACCCAAATCACCCAATATTTCCAACAATTTTGACTTGTGCTTTGAATTATAGTTCTACTCTAATAAGATTTATTTTATAACTGGATGGGTTGAGTTTATGAATAAAGGCAAGGGTGTAGAATTGGGTCAGGCCGCCTTTCCAGGACACTTCAAACATTGTCATGGGTCGACCCCATTGTGGAGATAGTTTAAATGGCACTATGCATGGCAATTTACAGGGATCTGCTTGTGGCAAAGAGCGTATTGCTTTCTGCCAACAATTCACCTAAATTTTCTTTTGTTTTTATTTTAAAACTAACCAAGAGTATAAAAATGAAAAAATTCATTTGGGTCCAGTGTCCTGTTTGGTCCCGAAGCCCTACGCAAGCCGTGTTAGCTTTCTATAGAGGTAGGCAGCCCGATTTGACCTCTTTCATCCCTATAGAGAAGACGAGACCAAAAATCGCAGAAATTATCAAAGGTAAAGAAGATACAGTATTAAGTCAATAAGTTTGGCTAGAATTATCACACACACACAAAAAAAAGTTCAATGTAGAGCGCCGTGTAGACAATATATTCACTCTTGTTTCTTGAAATTTGAGTTTTGACTCGAGTTATGTGTATATCATGGAAAGACTAAAGTCTAAGTGGCGTGATATTTCTTCTAAACAAAAATTAAGCAATTTTAGTACATAGACAAAAGCTAAGATCTTGATGAACTTAGGGTAGGTCAAAAACAAGCAAAACCGCCCTAATGCACAAAGAATAAATGTCAATTCTTGTGCTAAAAAACGTGTATAAATTTTCTCGAAGGCTCATTTGGATATAATTACCAACATTTGAAGGGTAATTAGGAATGGATTTCTTTAGGTTTATTTGGATATTAACATTTGTAGTTTCTGTATGCTCCTCAATGGTGAATTCCTATGTGCAAAAATGTTCGACCTTCAACATTGTTCGGATTCAGGGATAACTCTGTTCTCTCTCATTTCTTGTTGCGTTAACCTTAATCAAGCTGTTCAAACTGGATATTATTGCTTGTGTTCCTCATTAGGCCTTTCTAATCCTCTATTGGTTACCAAGATTTCAGTTCTCTTATCAAACTGTTACATATCAATGCCTTCTGAGTGTCATAGTAAGTTCCGAACTTCCAACATTTTTTGACAGAATCCAAATCTTTTTCTTGTGTTTATTT